TCAGTAGATCAGAACATGGTCTTGACAATGTAACTGATCCCTTAGCGTATTGTCTTATAGACCAGCTGTTTTGCATGGATATTGGCTATTCTCAGTTTACTTAGTATGTCTTGAACATCCGATGTCATCTTGGATTATGCTGACGAGAACGGATGTCGAGAGCGGATATAGGGTACACATCTGGAATTTGTATCTTGATCAGTTGACGGCATTCAAGAAGTTAAGTTGTTACTGCTTCAAGTGTTCTCATTCTACCCTTAATAACTTCACTATTATGGCCTTCATTGCGGCATACAGTCTCACAAATATCCTTGTCTTCACATTGGACTGTCAACCCACTATCAGCTTGAGAGGCCAGCCGGAATCACCTGACTACCTTCCATTCGCAGCTGGCAATCCACAGGAAAGGAACAAGACGGCTATGCAGAATGTGCGCAGGTGATGGCTAGCAACAATGGCATCAGGAAGTTGGTCAACTACACGGTCCAATACAAGGATCAGAGTAAGCATAGCTTGTTGTAAAGCTACGGAAAGACGCAGCTTAGGGTATGAACATATTTCCCACGAAGCACTTGATGCACTCTCAAGGCACGAGACTGCGTGTCATAAGAGAGTCTATAAAAATATAAAATTAACTATACGGTTGCCATACAGGTTTATTTCAAGGTAGTGCATTTTCTTATGTTTCTTCAGTATATACCTACTACACTTAACTCCCGATTACCTGCCTATAGCTAGGGAAATAGCCAGCGCCTGTCCCGCAGGTCCTGCATCTCTACCCTCTCTCTATCTACCTATGACGAGTATTCACACTTCCACCGCCACCGGAATAAGTTCCCTCCTGAGTGTTGGAGGCCCAGATGGGGCTTTCTCCAGCCTTGTAAAGTACGATGTTACCATCGTCCTGAACGATACAGTAAACACTGTTGTCGCCTATGGGGTAGGCAGTCTCCGTTTGCCATACTTTCTCTCCTTTGGTGGAACTTCACAAAGTAAATTCAAATTAGCCCATGGGGACTTTTCCAACCAACTCTAGTGGACATAGGGCGGTCATGGACATTAGAGAGAAAAAAAATTAAACTTACTATAGACAAAGATTGCCGTCTTCCTGCATTTTGAGCCCCTGGATATCCTGCCGTTGAACGGCTGTGTTTTGGAATATACAACTACCATCTTGGTAAATGGCGAGCTTTCCATCGCTCTGCACGCAGAATTCGGTCTTGCTGTTAGTGCTTTGCAGGCTGTGGCCGGGAATGAGCCATTGTCCGTTGCGGAGAGTGTTCGACAGAGGTACGTTGATTGAATATTTTGTATAAAGAGGATGAATGGATGGAAAGAGAGTATGGTTATGGAGTTGTAGTTTCGTCCTGAAGTGGGTGCATGGGAGGTATTTATACCCCGAGTCCTGATCCCTCCTGGGCTTTGGAGCATACATTATTCTCACTGTACAAGAGTTCACCGCCACTAAAGTCAGAGTGTCCCTTTGACGATGACGATTGATCATCCCAAAGTTCAGCTCCATAGTTCAGCTGCTGGAGTCCCCGGATGGGTCCAAGAACTGGCGTGGCGAAACTACTACGGAGTCATGTAGCGCCTTCGACGATCGGGCACCCCACTGTGCAAACTGCAAAGTAGATCTTGGGTTTTGAGCGGCCAGGTGCTAAAATAGTAGTATCATGCTAGTGCGCCACCCGAACGGTATGGTCAAGTATGTGCGGTAAATCGCCGACTCGGAATTTATTTCCTTCTGGCCTGGTCACCCTCTGACTACTTACTTTATTTACCTAGTTTGTAGAGGTTGAAGCGATTGAAACTGGATTGAACTGATAATAGCCCCATATATCTGATGTTTCTGTATTTATTAGGAAATACTAGTAGCCATGAGTATCTTCCTGACTGAAAGAAATGCCGGTAAATGCCTGCCGGATGTTGTAGGAAGTTAATTGTTGAGACGGAGAGATATTGGTTGTCTCGCTATCAGGCGCTGCAGAGCGAGGCGCAGCTGGAAAGAGGGGGAAGGCAGGCCTCGTCCAGTGCCCTCGCCTTCCAGCTATCTACGTAGTACTAGTATTTTCTATATCAGTTTGGCCAATCTGATACCAGTATTCATCCAGTTAGAAAGGTGTTCAGAGGTGCGTTCTGCGAGTTTGCGCAGGCAAAAGCAAAGTAGGAGAAAGCGTTGTTAAGAACATTATTTGGGGTTCAGGTCGATCCCACGTAGCCCTTTTGCCTCGCTGGCCATATGCTGTCAAACAGCCAATTTTGTTGAGGAACTTTGGCTGTTCTTCCCTGACACCTAGCAAGTGGAGATATGGGCATCATTTCCCATCCAGGAAAGTGTTCTCAAACCCAAGATGCGGAGTGGGGGTGTGTCCGATCGTGGAAAAGCAGTTCCGTTTGCGATCAGTCAGCGAATGGCTCCACGGGAATTAGCACAGTATCTTCACGCTATCTCAGCTCTATCAGGCTACCAGCCGCAGTGGGGACCGCTTCAAGTAATGACTGCAGACTCTGCAGCTAGCTGTATTTGGACTATTACTTACCCCTATATCTGAATAGCAAGCTTTCTGTCTGTTTCGAATATACAGGATCTACTACCTGGGCTTCTGCCTAAGTAGTTGCCTTAGTAGCTGAAGTACAGCAGCCTTGGTAGGCTCTTTAAAGAACACTTCATCACTTGGCTGATCTTACACCAGCCATTCTCCAACAAACAGAACTGATTACTAACCTGTATGGCCCTACGTAGAGTCCAAATAGGGCTGCTGCCTTTATCTACTAGATTGATAGATGCTACAACATTGGCTACCCTACAATTAAATACTTGTAATATAGTCAAACATAGATCATAAATCCCTAACGCTGAGAAGCTGAAGCTCCTAAGGAACTTTGTAGACTTATACATATTCCTAGGGTTTGCTCTGAATTTCAGCTTTCTGGTGGCAGCAATGCACCCCCAGATGAAGACTTTAGCAATCATACTAAAAGCCCGTTGCGGCCATCATTTTATAAAACTGAATCGTTATCTTGGTAGATAACATTTTGATCTGACTAAATACGTGACTTGGATATTGCATGACAATTGTGAGCCTTGGCCTTGAAGGATAACAAAAGGAAGAAATGCCTGTCTACTACTGTTGACTCTCCTATAACGCATCTACAACTTGTAAGAGATGCCTTCACTTATACCTTTCTATATGTGATTACCCGGGACTGAGAGATCAGTTTTATCCAAGTACAAATTCGATGTCAATATATGATAGGGAATAGTACTAAATGGATTAACGAGATCGAGACAGGGTACAGTGCAAATCAATGAAGAGCATAGGGAGATACCTGGATTAGTAATAAACAAAGATAATCTAAGAGCGGAACTACTTAGAGAGCTGTTGAATCTATGTTTCAGGAAGGTCGCATCTCATGCAGGTTGTGGGCTGACAGATTTGCCGTTCGGTCTCTCACAAGGCACGATGGGCGTAAGGACCGTCCGCTCCACATCATGAATGCAACATGTCATCGAAGTGGTGCGCGATGCTCACCACCCAAGCTCATTATCTCACTCGCATGCAATACTTCCCTTGTAGGCACTGCGCCCGCGGAGATTATATGGTTTCTTGCTTCCCGTTGTGCAGCTTGCTTATTTCTTCCTTGGCATTTTTCAGGGTCTACAACCACCTCAATAGCATGGGATGATGTGATTATGGGACATCACGACCCCGGGCAGAATATGGAGCACAGCATAGCTATAGTCATGCCATTGAGCCAGGATTATCTCTCTGGATGCACAGTGGCAAATTCTAGCCCTGGGCGGGATAGTTTTCAAGGCTGATCTAGGCACCTATGAAGCGGAAGTGTAGTGAAACGCGGAGTTGGCCGCATCATTGCTGTGCGAATCTTCCGGGCGATCATTGTTACTCGACCGTGCTGATTGCATGTCTAATTCCTATCTATATCCTACCCCTCTCAGCAGCGGAAGAGCATAAGCAGGTCATACTGTGTTGGCGCACACGCCATGCGGCTATTCCTTCCCGTTGTGGTACAGGTGGACACCCGGGCCTCAGGGCAAGGTCGTGTATCGCCAGATTCCAGCTGTGCAGGGTCTATCTGCATTGATATGACATCTGCAAATTGGGTGATCTGTACCCATGCAAAAGTTCCATGATGCGCTGAAACCTTGCCCAACATGGAATAATGTGTCTCAGTTGGTGCTTGGCTTTACGACCCGAATGGTACTGAAACTGACGTTGGACTCAAGGCCGTTGGAATGACGGCATGGTCCCTTGGCTGATCTGTCCGATATAAGCTCGCATTACACGGTAGGTCTGAGACAGCTACACCAATTCTTCTTTTCGTATTGACGATTTGACGAGACATCATGATAGTCTATCTGAAAACCAGCTATCCACTCGTGGTGACGTTGGCGCTGTGTAACGTGCCAAAGTTAGTCTAATTATAGTTGGTTCTACAATGATGGAGAGCATTGTGGTAGCCGCCTCTAACGCGGTCTCTGTAACCTCAAATTGGGTCTTGCATTGAATAAGTGATGAAGCATTTAGTTCAGACGGATAGTAGAGCAGTCTGGATCCGATACGTGCGATGACGCACGTACACATGGCAACGGAAGATGTAAGGCTTTCCGCCCAGAATCAGCATTACGAGAAAAGAACCAACATACCTTCTCATCCGGGGTTCCCTTGCATCTTGCATAACCTAACCATCGGTAATGTTGCTTCTCAGAACATGACATATCCATTGTCTTCGTGAAATGTAGGTCATCAGAGCTGCTTATTCGTCAGGTTTCTTATGCCTTCGTAAAGTCAGCATCTAGGTCGTATGCACGATATGCATGGGCTTTGGACGCCTAATCCTGCGCCAGGCATATAAAAGCCTCCTCTCTGGCTTTGTGGAGGCTTCAATTCCGGGCTTCGAAGTGTCATCAGATTTATCAGTATCAATCGCCGACTCCTTCTAAAAATCTGACAACTGAGAATATCACCTTCAAAATGCAGTTCCTCCTCCTCATCGCTGCAACTTTGAGTCTCGGTGCAGGAACTCTGGCTTCCCCTGCACCGGTTTCTAACAGTATTGAGTCGCGGGCTTATCATTGGCATGGTTGTGGCGCCGGTATTGAGGTATGTCTTACATGTTTGCATCTACATCTATACTAGATGCAAAACTAGACCATGAGTTGTTACTGACTCTGCTTGAAGTGCCATTCCGCCAGTGACTGTTGGGCGTCCGAAGATTGCGTGCAGACTGCCCTTGGTGTAAGTGAATGGTGCCAGTCTATATAGTTTCTAAGAAAATTGACCTCGTATGCAGAGCACCGCCAATATCCACTGTGGACAAGATAGTTACCCCACGGCTTGCTGGGCGGTAAGTAACAATTCCTTGGCCTTTTCCTTTTCCTTTTGTCTTCAAGTTTTCTTTCTATCCCCCTTCACTATAAGGTGAGTATGGTGCTCGATGTTCTGACAGCCCTCTGTAGGATTGGACCGATTAGATGTTGGGAGTTTGCATCAACGGCGAGCTGCGCGACGGTCACAGTTGGGAATGTTTTTTAGGTTGATTGAATTTCTCGGGGGATATGGTTATTGTGTGCTCTACACACGTGTTGCAGAAAGAATGATCAATGGCACATCCTAATCAATTGGACGCTTGAAGGCAGTTCCATAAGAGCAACAGGAGTCATAGGCATCTAATTGCTAAAAGGCCATTAGCAAGATCAGAAGTAATCCGGCAATTGTTGTAACTTCCACGTTTGTTTCTCTCTTCAATCAATAACATTTCCATTAATGGAGTCGGAACAGCCGGAGTGGATTGTGCATCGTTCATAATTCTGTTACTATTGTATGCAACTTCTCGTTAAAGATGATCTGGTAAATACAGAGGAACTGTAATTTAGGCCAAGGATGCATTAGGCTAAGTTGGTTTTGTAACTGAGGAAGCACTTATTTCGTTTGTTGTATCGCTGAAGCAGCGCATGTGCAGCTTGAATCAATAAGGAAAAGGGAGGGTGCACCGATGCTTGGTTTGGCTATGTATCCAACACAGAAACGTCTTTAATTTCGAGCTTACTGATTTTAGTCTGCAGGAAGATTAATGCAAGTCAAATGCTCTGATTCAAAACCGATCGCTTGGTTTACCTTGCACATCAATCGTGAGACAATCACTAGAGCCCTCTTGCTAGTACCCATCCACCCAAAAGCCGGTTATTTGACATCCATTCAGAGGTTAGCGACACTTTAGTGCAAGAGCACTTTGCTAAATTGATGTCCTGCTTACAGCATTTAGGCAGATGCATATCGGGGTACATGGCTAAATTATCGATGAGAAGCTCACTGTGGACGAAAAGAGAACCTCATATCTAATTGCGTATCGGTGCTTTTCTAATGAGAAAACAGCCCATAGCCGGCTCCATCTCAACTACACCGAGCTGTTAGTCCGATCCGTCATAGATGATAGGATTTTTGGGCAGAATGGACATCTAACATCGCAGCCCTCATACCCTTTGGAGCAATCATTGCTCCCTTGTTACCCTTCATAATTTCATATTTCAAGCACAACGGTACTATTTCCGATTGACAGTACAATATTCAGCTACGAAGAGCCGATGGTACCCCGACGCAAGATACTCTCGGAGTAATAACTCCGAGGTGGCGTACATTGGGCTGCTCCGTAACCAGTAAACAATTTATCTTGATGCGCACTAATCTTGAAGCAAACTTCAATCATGGATTGCAGAACGGAGCCTGCCAGCTCCTCCAAGTGTGGTCGGATTGGTTAAGTATAATGTCTAGTTTATTGTTTCTCCTCTCCTTCCCTTTTACTCTTATCTTCCTGTGTTGTCCAATTTGATATTAACGGGTGGTAAGGCCTGAGCTTTCAGAAGCGAGGAAATAAATATTTGCTACCAGTTTTCAAGATAAACAAACTCTTTCTACTCAAGAGGGAACTGAGCTCTATGCTGTACTGAAAGGGAATACAAGGGTCACCTGGAGCTTAGAGCACGCTATGCTGCAATATGACTAACGCAAACCCCAGAACGGGCGAATGTGGACTTGACTATAGCCGGATGTCTGGCTTCCAGGTATTCATAGAAGCAGCAGCAGAGCAAGCGTTATTATGGCTTGTGATGTGTCGGCCTACTGATGAAGAAAGCGAGCCTTTGATTCTACGGCTGGAGAAACTCAAGCATGGCACTTTGAAATCGGACCAGCCAGTAAGTCAGTCCGCTGGACTCACGCCTTTCTGGAAGTTTAGCAACCCTAGTGATGTCTCTGAAATCCACTACTTGCAAACAAGCGCAGTCAGAAAGTAATATCTTGCGCATAAGTCGGGTTTGTCATGTGTTTGACCACAGACAATGGTGCAGCTCGCTGAATTCTCATTCTCTGTTTTTGGCTTCTAATTTTATCCTACCTCGGTCAGTTGAGTATCCCATATTTTCTTATGATGTGGATATAAAACCCGTGAGTCCTGTCTGGAGACATAACCGCCCTATCGCTCTCAGTCACTTCTTTATCCTACCCTGTCGCTTTCTTATTCAGCCTCCGCAAAATGGAAGCCTTTGATCTCTCCACTGCTCCCCCAGAGTTCGGGGTCTGGGCGCCAACAATCTATGCTCTTAATGCTTACACGAACGTGATATGGCTCTATGTGTACTATGGCATGATATACCGATCCTACAAGGACAAGTCCTTTGCTATGCCACTCATTTGCCAGTGTCTCAACATCGCATGGGAGATCACCTTCGGTTTCCTATTCTCACTAGACCACTGGTTAATCAGTCTTTCCTTCCAAGTCGCAGTGGTAAGCAACCTTGGCGTCATCTTCGCGGCAATCAAGTATGGGTCCAGAGAATGGGACCGATCCCCTATGATACAACGCAACTTGCCTTGGATATATGGCGGTGGGATATTACTAGCAATTGGAGGACATGTTTGTCTTGCGTCAGAGCTCGGCATGGTGAAGGCTTGCTTCGCGAACGCAATTGTATGTCAGGTTATTCTGAGTGTTGGATATGTCAGTCAGCTTTTGGTTCGAGGAGCCACGCGTGGATTTTCCCTTCAATTATGGTTCGTATGCCCATCTCTCGAAGACAGACAAGATAGAATTGTTGAAAAGAGGCTAAACTTTGAGTCAGGTTCTTCCGGTTCACCGGCTCGTTGACTCTAATCCCGGAATTTTACCTTCGTATTAAGTACTGGCCTGAGGCTTTTGGATGGCTGGGCGAGCCTTTTATGCTCTGGTGCTGTTATCTCTATCTCGGCTTTGATTTGGCATACCCAGTGCTTTTTTGGTATATACAACGACGAGAACAGGAGGAGGCGTTGGCCAAGACTCTCAAGGATAGGTAGCACTTTTCTTTCATTGGCTAAGAGAGGTGAAAAGATGTTGAGGGCTGGTAGAGGTTTGGGGGCTACCTTTGTAAAGTTTTAAATGAGGCAATCCTATTTGTTAGCAGGTGAAGAGAGCTAGGCATGGGGATCTCTTTCCCTTTTGTGTGTGTGTGTGTGTGTGTGTGTGTGTGTGTATTTCCAGGATTTTTGTCCAGTCCTAATCGTTATTAACTCTTGGAATTCCTAGCTCACTTTGCTACTTACAAGCTGTAATATATCTCTCTCATTACTCTTCTCTGCAAGACTTGATGAATATCAGATCAGATGCTATCCGGCGATAGAAGTTAATTTTGAGATCAGATTCATTCAAATACCCAAGCTAGCAAAATGGATGTAATGAATAATACCAAATTCTAATTATCTTATACCACCTCCCCTGCATACTCTTCAGAAAGCTATCCGCAACCTAACTGTTCTCTCCCCAGGATAACCACATTTGTTTCAAGTGACACCAATAGTTATATTTGGGTGGCTACATATGCCTAGCAGGATAGCAGGAAGATAAGGACATTCTTTGCCGGAACACTTTGGATTATGAAATTTAAGCATTCGTTCGACAAATATTGTATCATCTTTATCACCGATACCTTTCCTATCTCCTTTGGGGACCAATCTAACTCATTCAAAATTCCATGAATTATATGGAAGAAAAATTGGTTAGATGGATTCTCTGAATATTTCCACGGCATCGAATCACTGTGAATGAGAGACTCCCTACCAAACACCCGTGTAATTAACGAACCTCAAATCATGCCTGAAGGTAAGTGTTGTCCAACCTCGGCCCACAAGGCTGTGCTGTGGATGTACGTATTAGTTGTCAGTGGGGGCCAAAGGCAGACAGGAATCGACCAGACTAGACTAGACTAGACTAGACCAGACCCTTAACACCTAAGTACCCAGTAATGTAGGGTATTACACAACGGAAGTCATCCATCTCCGAAATGTGCCAACTAATCATTGATCTCAGGTCAGGTGCCAATATTCACTCATAATAATGTCAGTGACTGACTGACTGACTACTGCCTGGTCATCCTTGATGCCTGCTGAGCCGGTGTCAACTTTAGACTTTACGGGTCAGGAGATAACTAACCTACTTAGTAGATGGATAGATAATCTCCACTCAAAGAACTTGTGGCCGTTAGGGTTCCATGGGTACGCCAACGGTTAGACCCGTGGGTTTTTCCCTGGGTGAGTAAAGTAGATAGTGAGCGGAATTCTCCTATCGAGGAGTGAAATTTAATTAGATAACAAAGTAAGTATCTATCGATAAAGCAGGAGGAGCCTGAAATTGTTCGTGCAGGATGGTGGAGAGATTGATGACTGGCGTGAGTGGCGCTTTAGACGCCCAACCTCTCTGTGTCTCTCTCTTTCTTTCACTCACTCACTCGCACAATGGAAGATGCCGTCTTTTGGACGGATTGCTACTAGAAGATACTACCAGCATCCATCCACTGACATCTGTTACAGTAGTTACTTAAATGGTTGGGATGATATTCCTATTTCCCATAGCTAGTCTACCTACCTACACAATACATACTACAGTTTCAATAGCCGCCCACCGCCATGTCAATTGTTCTATAAACAGAATGTTTAATTCGACTCTATAGTAGTAGCTTCAGCGCTTCTGCATGAAGGGGGGGGTCGAGCTTCGCGTAAATTCGAGGACTCTCTGCCTATGATCGAAGACATCAGGGGGAAAGTACCTGAATTTCTTAATTGTCGCCGCCCGCAGCTGATCCCCAAGGCGGCCCAATCTTTGCCAATCCCCCACTTCAGCTGAGCGAAGCGCCCGCGTTTACGAGGCACGAGGGGCCGGTTTTTTCTTGTTTTCGCTCTTATTATTTGACCACTTCTTTTTCTTCTTCTCTTTTCTTCTCTTCCTTTTTCCTCTTTGTTCATTTCTCACCTACTTCTCTTCTAACTACTTTGACTTCCATCGTCAATACGTCTTGAATTTCAGCAGCATCATCAGCATCTTGTTTCTGCTTGAGATCAGGGTTGCCAGCCCCTCCGCCACACTCACGGCTGATTTGCTGCCCACTTATCGACGTCACACCCCACCAGCCTATTCATCTGACCTCTACTATACTATCCACGCACACAGCAAGTTGTTCATAATCACAGAAGAGGGAGGCGGGATATAGGCGGAGCAGATACAAAACACAAAGAAAATCACCGCCATGTATTCCTCCTATCCTAGAGGACGTCACCTCCTCACCGATTCGGAGTCTGACTTCTCCGAATCGGATTACTCCATGGTAGAGACGACTCCACGCCGGAAAGTCACTACTCGTCGACGCTCCATCTCCCGCCACCGCTGGAGCCCCGAACACATCCATAGTAACACCTACCTCAGCCCCGTGATCCATGACCACCACGCGCCTCAACGCTCCGCCTCCACGGGTGCCCGTCGTCGCCCCGATCGTGAGCGCGAACGCGAACGCAACAACAACCAGCCCGTCGCCGTCATCGTCGACGTCCACAACAAATATGACGCCAAAGCCGACGCCAAGACAGATGCGAAGAGCGATGCCAAGAATGACGCTCGGAACAAGAGTGCCACCAAGAACCGGAAACAGGAACACAAGCTAAACCAGAACTACATCGATCCCTACGAGTCGGAGGATGAGACCAGGTTGCGGGATCATCGCCGAGCTCGCACTCGCCCGAGTAGTATCTCCCGGGAGGCATCACCGCTCCCACCTACGAGGGACTATGAGCTCATGCTCGATACGCGGTTCCTTGAGAGGAATGATGCCCGTCAGGACCTGGAGCTCCTGCGTCATCAGCAGGAGATCGCCCGTCTAGAGCGGGAACTGGCTCGTCATCGTGAGACTTCCCAGCATCGTCAACAGCAGCAGTTGCAGCCGCAGCAGCCTCCCCCGCCTCCGCCGGCGCCGGAGCATGAGCATCGCTCTCCCCCTCCTCACCATCATCACCATGAGCTCCGGCTGCTGAGGGAGGAGGATCTATACGAGGACGAGATCAGTGAGCGGCTGCGACGGCTGGAGCGGTACGAGAAGAAGCAGCGCATGGAAGAAGAGCAGCGTGAGGCGGAGCATCGCTACCAACTCATCAAATTCGAAGAGGCCCAGCGTAAGGCTGCGGAGCAGGAGGAGCTCAGCCAGAAGATGCGTCAACGGCAGCTGGAAGAGATCCAGCGCAAGATGGAAGAGGAGGAGGAGAAGGAACGCATCAGGAAAGAGCTGCGTGATGAAGAGGCCAGGCGGATCCTGGCTGAGCAGGAGCGCGCCCGCAAAGAAGCTGCGATGAAGCAGGCCGCTATCGAGGAGTGGAAGCTGAACGAGGAGCGGAGAATGATTGCCGAACGGGAAGAAAGAAAGAGACGTGACGCCGAATTCAAGGAGAGACTACGACTCGAGTTCGGCTACGACGAAGAGCAGCTGGAGAAGATTATCAAGAAGGAGAAGGAACCCGAGAAGCCCAAAGAGCCAGAAAAGCCCAAGGAGGAGCCTGAGAAGCCAAAGGAACCTGAAAAGGAGAAGGAGAAGGAGAAGGAAAAGGAACCTGAGCCCCAACGGACTACCTGGATTAAGGTATGCAATCATCCCCCGCCCCCACCCCCATAACCCTATCCAAATCGTTCATCTAACTCACCGACGCAGGTCCACCGCAAACATCTTCTCCCCGACACACTTATTGCCTACCGCCTACCCTGGGACTGGGACGAGGTAAGTTGGAACCCTAAACACTCTAGGTACCGCCGACGATAACTGACTGTTGACAGCTCGACGGCAACTACATCATCATCAAGCAGTGGATCTCCGAGGACTTTCAGGAAGAGCTGTTCGCTCACTCGCGGCGTCTGCGTGAGGGCAAGCTTGTTGCTCAGCACTCGAGCACCCTGACCGAGCTGAAGGTGAACGACCGAAAGAAGGACAAAATGTACCTGGTCCGCAAGAAGAACCCCGGCTCGCGTGCCTGGATCTTCACTTGATCTCGCAGTTTCTTGACGCGCAACGAAGTGTGATACCATGATTTGATTAGTCTGATTTGGTTCTTGTGTTCTCTTGCCTCGTCTGTCAATATTTCTGTTCTCTTCTTGTTCATTTTCACAGCTATCCTATACAAGATGTTGGCATAATGACTTGTCGAGTCATGATGTTTTGATTTTTTCGTTCCATGAGTTGGGATTTCAACAGTTGCTATATATATGATACAATGATGATGATGATGATGACCAAACGTCGACCCATGCAGTCCGTATCCGAGGCCCTTTTATACCCATAACAATAACAAACTCCGGCCCTAACTAACCCCTTCCCTTCTAAGGAATCTAAAACAGAGAACCTTTACTATAGTCTACAGACAGCCTATTCTCCCTTTGATCCCCACTGGACTTCGGCCCTCAGAATCAACTCCTCGTAGACCGTCCACGCAAGCGCAGAACTAAGCGCTTTCCTCGTAATCCGCAGCCCCAACCCGCCAAATAGACTTCTTACTCCATCCTCTTGCACCATCAACCTCACAGCCCGCATCATGTTCCCATACCGCCCCGGCATCAGCTGCAACCGGGTCTTGACCGCATCGAACGGGTTTGTAATGGTAGTGGCCAGCCCGGCCGCCAATCCCCCAGAGACGAAGTTGATTGATGACGACTTCAGTGGCTGCTGATCAGACGAAGAACCTGATAAGCCCGCCAGTCGCCGTTTCAACTGCTCGTAAAACAAAACGTATAGTCCTGCATACGGCGCATCACGCGCCGCTGTAGCTCCAAATCCGGAAAACAGGCCCCGGAATCCCTCTGTCCTGACTATATCTCGCCCCGCGCTGAAGAGACTCCGATAGGCGTAGTAGTCTGATTCGTAACGAACTTTTAGCACGGTCACTGGCATCATGACGAAGCCAGCAGCAACCCGGGCGGCCGCCCCGGTAGCTAGATTGGCGGTGTTGGACAGTTTGGGCAGTGCGGAAGAGCTATTGGTGACGGGAGCAATGCCATTCGATTGAGCGAGACCCGTGCGAAGGGCGTTGAGGCTCGTAAAATACAGTGCTGAGCCGAAACCCGTGCGAAGGGCAGAAGGGAGTGTACCACGCCATAGATTGCGGATTGGATTCGGAGAGGAGAGGATGGCCTTGAGGGTTGGAAGGAGGGAGGCGTTTTGGGATTGTTGTACACGGGTTTTGAGGAGATCAGCGGGTTGGAGAAGGATGGAAGAGGTAAGGCCCGAGAAGAGCCCTGCGGTGAAGTGGAAGGTCGTCTTGGAGGCTGTTCGATTGATCGTTCGTTAGGGTTTACTCAATGGAGAAAATAGTAGATGAGTGGCCATACAGGTTGAGGTGGTTTTCACCTGCGGTACAGCATAGACCGCATTGTTCGACATGGCTTCGGATCCCGCAGCCAGTGCTAAGAATGTGTATAGATAGAGGAGTGATTTAAAAGGGCACGCGTGATGAGATCAACTCATCCGGGGCACTGCACGACAATGGCTGGAGAAGAATTTGAGATTGAGACAGACCGCTTGAAGCGGTGACGGTCACATTGATGGTAATCAGGATAGCATGGCAAAAGCGAAGAGGCGTGGATTCAGGTTTTGCAAGGATGATAGGTGATAAATATGACTTTTCAGCGAGTGAAAGAAAGAGAAAGGGAAAAAATGTGACAGACGGTGTAGATACGAAGCGGTAGACTCGTTCCTACCCAAAGCGGAGGGCCGTTGGTGAAGTCATCTGGCGCCGGGCGGAAAGCATCTCGATTGGCTGCAGATCACCAGCCACAGTTGCCGCGGCCGTCGCCGCCTCTCAACTTCTTCCGATATCTCCGGCGTAAGGACCTGCCAAAAGTGGCACACCAACAGGTACAGGTTCGGGTTAAGGTTAACGTACCTGTGCAGTGACTGACAGGCACTACTAAAGAACTACTGGGATACATGCTGTTTCTACTTCATAATATCATACCCAACAACCAGGCCTATCGCTGCTCACTGCTTACCATTTACCAATACGTACTACTTACATTCAGTACTACGAAGTACTTACTAGCAGTAGTCACAGGGCTGATCATGTCGAAATACGGAAATTTTCAACAGGAAAATACTTGGTACGCTGCATTTGGGCAAGGTTAGATAATCCAATCCACGAGCTTTCTCCGAGCAGGTGCCCGTCTTAACCACTTTACAGAGTGAGACATAGGGAGGCACTATGGCCTATGCATGCAGAAGAATGCAGGTTGTTAAAACACCATTCCATTCATTCCACTTGGCCACGCTCACGGCGGATGTACTTACTCTGTAATCTTACCGCCCATTGTTCCCGGCGGCAAACCGCTCAGGCCCATCGAACCAATAGGGACCCCGTAAATGGCGGGTGACATACCTTCCTCCGTACTTAACCGTCACATTCACGCCGGTTCGGTTGGACGTTAGGCGACTGGGCTGCAGATCGGGCGTATTAGTCGACGTCACGGTTCATGGGAGCCGGTAAGGCGGAGTAACTGGTAAGTTCGATGGCCACCCTCAGTTGTCAAACTTAACTGCCCTGCCTTTTCCTTTCCTCTCTTTTGGGGAATCTGGCCTTTCTTCAAGAAGTTACCCCTGCTATGCCCTCCTGCTCGTAACTCCCGTCGTTCCATTGTGGTCCGCCAGAGACGTCACCAATCCCTCCACCCTGCGGAGAGCTGAGCTGAGTCTCCGTCACCCATCATGCCTCTCTCATCCTTCCTTCCCCATGTTCCATATCCACCCTCCAGGGAAGGATATTGGAGTCCCGTCACATCTACGCTGAATTGGTGCGAGGAGGTATGCGCGCTCAGTTTTACTTCATCCTTTGGTCACACTTTTACTATTACAATAGGTTGCTAACCATCATGCGAACGAGATAGGATTACTATGCCACCATCTACTCCGCAGAGATCGTCAACACCCTGACAAACCTGCTCTTTATGGCCCTTGGAATCAAGGGTTTCTTAAGTTGTCGTCGCAATGGACATGATTCTATCTTCCAGGTCGCTTACCTTGGCTATCTGCTGGTCGGAACTGGGAGCTTCCTCTTCCATTCAACGTTGAAATGTAAGTGAGGTATTATAGTGGGGGAGGGGTAGCCTGTGTCGTGCAAAATTGCTGATCCGTGCATGATACTCATAGATCCCATGCAACTGGTCGATGAACTGTCCA